GCTGAACCAAAGAGATGCATCTTTTCTGCGATCACAGCTTTCATGGCTTCCTTTGCAGAAGCCATAACATGAACTAGATCCTTCTTGGGGGTAATGAGGGAGTCCATGAATGCTATCCTTACTTCGGTGTTGACATTGAACTTTCTAACACCAAGGTTTATGCACTCCTGTCAGGAATCAAGAAGCTCTTATGATTACCAATATAAAGTGCATAAACTAATAGAATCATCGCATATCACAAATAAATGTTATTCTGCGGGACCCGAATTTCAATATAAAGGATAACAGGATAACTAAGAAAATCTGAGACGCATTAAAACTGTACCTTCAGCTCAATGCTCGTAACAGGTAAATGTTACTATGACGTACAAAAACTTAAAGTCAACCTCCAAAATCTATTAATTATGCAACTGTACCTTGACATGTTCTTTGCTCAAACCAGACGCACCATGAAGCACCAGAAAAACTCCTTTCTTCAGGCTCAAAGCGTGTAGCTCCTAAATGTTGTACAATGTCAGAATTACACAACTGGAAAGAAAACCTCACGTATGGGTTAAATTAAATGTCAATCCATTGAGAAACATGAGGCAACCGCCACCCCAGAAAACCCAATTCAGGGGCGGAAACACAAAATGTTATGTCCTAGTATATCTCCCATTTTCTATCTTTACCTAGGGAAACTTCTTCTCAAGTGTTAAATAAGGAACGATTAAGAATTTTCTTGTTTTAATAAGGAAGAAACTTTATAAGAAAGATAAATAAATCAAGGGAGGGAAGCAAGATATCCTCCAAATATATATAAAATAAAAAATAAAAATAAAAATAAAATAAAATAAAAAACTAAAAGAATGCAAAGAGCCAGCCACCAGAAGAAAATCAAAGGAACACAACCCAGTCCTTAAACGTATGTAGGGGCAAAGAGAAACCCTTCAAAATGCATCCCCAAATGAATAGTGAGGAGTTAAAGATTTTCGCATGTGAAAATGGAAACGCTGTCCTAAAACAAATGCAGGGGCAAGGAGAAACCCACGCAAACAACCCTAATTAAATGATTAGATGAGTTGTTAAATACCTTTTGCAAGGAAATGAACCCAAATTTGAAACACTTGAAGGTTGAATGCAATCAATGCCAACAATATTTCTCAAAAGATGTTAGATATTCATGCTTCAAAGTTCATAATGGTGATTTGTTCATAATGATATAAACAGGTAAATTTTTAAGAATATTGAAAAGACTATGAAAAATAGGTATTCTCAAGATGCTTTTAGGTCACTAAATCTAGAACATGCAACTATAATGCAAACCTTAAAAAGTGTTTATAATAAGCACACACATACATGTTGTGATAAACATGCTGAAAATTTACGTAGATAAGTCGTTACACCATATTCTTGAACACCAGTCTTTGAACATTCTTAACTAGTTGTTCTTGAATTGGAAATATTCAACCTAGAACTCTGGATTTTGCAATTTTCCCAAAATTTATCACATAGAAGATCAGCTATGGTCTGGACCTTTTATTTTGACTATATTTTTGGATAAATTTGCCAGTAAAAACATGTAGAATACAAACAGAAATGTATTATGACCTTAAGAAGATCAAATCTGAGATTTGGACCACTTGCAGGGTACTTTCCATGTACATTGCCAATACACACTGCCAAAGCATCTATGCCAGTCTCATCAATAAATTTTGATG